GCCGCCGTCACAGACCTGCAACCTCCTTCCATCCTAACGCAGAGATCTATTTTTGGACTTGCCCATCGCAGATCTGAGAAATAAAAATTGTCACTTTCGTGCAGATCTAGATCTAGTCGGATCTAGTAGTGGGGGTTCGTGCAGATCTAGATCTAACCGGATCTAGTAGTGGGGGAGAAGGAATAAGAAGAAAGAAGGAAGAAGAGAAAAAGATTGAAAAAGAAAGACAAAGAAATCAGAAGAAAAAGTAGAGGAAGAAGAAAGAAGAAAAAGAAGATGGAGTGATTGGTTGGACAAAAACAGAAGGGAGAGGAAGAAAAAAAGAGAGAAGAAGAAAGAAGAAAGAAAAAAAAAGAGAGGGTGGCAGAAATAAATCGGAAGGGAGAAAAGAAGAAAAGAAAGAAAGAGAGGAAGAAGAAAAAAAAGAAGAAAAGAAGAAGAAGAAAAGGAAAGTGGGACGAAACTAGCAGGGAAGGAAGAAGAAAAGAAGTGGTGGAAAGGGTATTTGAGTCTTTTTACCTAATAAAACTTTCCTAAAATAGAAATGGAAAGTTTTTTTGTGGACGAACAAAAAAGGAAAGTAGGAAATTCTTTTTTGGACGGAGGGAGTATGAAATTACAGAAAAATATATTGGGGGAAGGGGGGGGGAGTGGGAGACTACTATGAGGTTCGGACGGTCAAATAATTAATCAGAACACTCAAAAATACTCCTATAGAATTTTACTTTCCGGTAATAATTTTTATTTTCAATTCATATTCTTAGTGTTGTAAATATTTCAAATCTAATTTCTTTTATTTTAATGATAAATATTTTAATTTCAACTTAAATTTTTTTCATTGGGGACTTTTATTTTTTTGATGGTGGCATTTTATTTTTTTGATGGCGGCATAATTAAAAAAATTTAAAAAATTAAAGTACTATTAAAAGTATTTTGAAATTTACAAAATAAGACCAAAATAGAACAAATACTACTCCCTCCGTCCCCAAATAAACTTTTCGTTGCGCGTTACGATTTTTGACTGAAGTTATTTTCACATCATTTTATATAAAAAAAGGTGTTAAATTTAAAAATAAAAATTACATATTAAAAAACTATATCAAAAGATCTACAAAACTAGAAGTGACATGACTATATTATTTTATCAAATGGATAACGAAAATAAGCCAATAAAGTGAAAAATATTTAACCTTGGGAATAGTGAACGAGAAGTTTATTTATGGACGGAGGGAATATATAAATAAAACGTGAAATTTTAAACAATATATCTATAAAAAATTCGGAAATTGCAGAGTCAGAAAAATAGTAAATTCCTTTTTATAAATTAAAAATATACATAGTAATTTTATTTTTTAATTATACATTATTTTTCATAATACCATTTAAATTGAGATTGATGAGTATGAAATGAATGAGACGATACTCGATAGAGTCAGCACTGACGTGGGCTAAATGATTGAGTGGCGCTAATTAATAGCCTTCTCCAAACTCCCGTTCTCCTTCAACGGGAGAAATCTGAACGATGAGCTGGTGGTGGGCCGGAGCTATTGGCGCTGCCAGGGTAATTCTCTTCTTTTCTTCTTTTTCTTCTTCTTCCATTTCTGCTTGAATTGACGATTGCGAATGAGTTTCGTCTCCGTATTCAATTCTGTTAATGGATCATTGATTTTTTTTGCAGAAAAGGATTGAAGAAGACGATGCACAACCCACACACCAGAGCGTAGCTCTAGTCGTCGGAGTCACCGGCATCGTCGGCAACAGCCTCGCCGAGATCCTCCCTCTCGCCGACACGCCCGGCGGTCCTTGGAAGGTCTACGGCGTCGGCCGCCGCCCCCGGCCCTCCTGGAGCTCCGATCACCCGATCCAATACGTCCAGTGCGACATCTCCGATCGGGACGAAACCGACTCCAAGCTCTCCGCTCTCGCCGACGTCACGCACGTCTTCTACGTGACGTGGGCGAACCGATCCACCGAGCTCGAGAACTGCGAAGCCAACGGCGGAATGTTCAGGAACGTTCTGGAGGCGGTGATCCCCAATTGCCCTAATCTGGCGCACATCTGCCTGCAAACGGGCCGGAAGCACTACACCGGCCCGTTCCAAACTTTCCTGAAATCGGCCCATCCGGACGCCCCCTACCACGAGGATTTCCCCCGATTGGATCTCCCCAATTTCTACTACACCCTAGAGGATATCCTATTGGAAGAGGTGAAGAAGAAAGAGGGATTACTAACATGGTCTGTTCATCGCCCAGGGTTGATCCACGGCTTCTCCCCCTACAGCATGATGAACATAGTGGGAGCTCTCTGCGTTTACGCCGCCATTTGCAAGCACGAGGGAGTCCCCTTGCAATTTCCAGGCCTCAAATCGGCATGGGACTGCTACTATGATTGCTCAGACGCAGACCTGATTGCAGAGCAGGAGATATGGGCGGCGGTTGATCCGTACGCGAAGAACGAAGCTTTCAACGTCAGCAATGGGGACGTGTTCAAGTGGAAGCATTTGTGGAAGGTGTTGGCGGAGCAGTTCGAGGTGGAAGCGGGCGGGTTGGAGGGGGAGGGGGAGGGGAGGGTGACTCTAGAGGAGGTGATGAAGGGGAAAGGGCATGTTTGGGATGAGATTGTGAGGGAGAATGGATTGGTACCTACAAAGCTAGAAGAGGTTGGGCAATGGTGGTTTGTGGATTTTGTGTTGAGTATTGAGTGCCCATTGGACACCATGAACAAGAGCAAAGAACATGGGTTCTTGGGATTTAGGAACACCAAGAAGGCATTTGTTTCTTGGATTGATAAGGTTAAAGCTCACAAGATTGTCCCTTAGCTATTACATAGTTTAGTCATGATCTCTCTTCCAAGTTTAACGTTTGGGCACACGAGTCATAGAATCGTGCGCGCAAATAAATTTACAGACGATTACGATGTCAAACTTCAGATTATTGTAGCATGACTTGGGAGAGTGAGAGGGAGGGGGGGGGGAGGGGGAGGGGGAGGGGTTGATATGCATGGGTGTTGGTTGATGGTTTGAGTTCATATTTGTCATTTTTATGTCAATAAAATGTATAGCCTCCTTGTCAAAAGTGTTCATGTGTGCCATGTTTGTAGCAATAAAAATTTATGCCCTTTTTTGCCAAACTACAAAAAGGGACAAGCATTCATATAGTTGTGCAGATTTCTCTTGAATAAGGACATTTAAGAAAGTCAAATAATTTTGTTACTTGACATTGAATCTCTAGGTTATGTGATGCCTTTATTCTATTTGAAATACCTATGTTGCTCTGGAGAGAGATGATTAGAGTGAGAGAAGAATTAAGAGATATGCCTACTAATAGGAAGTTTAATGTCAGAAAGGGATATGGACGGCTTCAAGGAGGAGGTACCAAACCAATATGGAATGTATGAGTTTGGAACAAACTAACGCCCCTAAAATTCCAGTATCTGGCTTGGTTACTTATATGAGAGGGAGACTCCAGACCAAATCTAGATTAAACACATATCTTTCCATTAACACCCATTGTTCTTTATCTAATAAAGAAGAAGAAACAGATTGTCATATGTTTTGGGAATGCATCTTTGCACAAGAGATGTATTTTGGACGATGCTCAAAAATTTATTCATTCTATATTCATAGCTACTTTATATAGGAAAGTAATGTAGAGCAAGGCTGGTCTGGTTTGATTTGGAACGTTATTGTATACGTTTGATAAGTTTTTTTGGTAATGAAAGTTGTGTTTATTATGCAAAAAAAAACTATATAAAGTTTCTACAAAATGAAAGGTGATAAGAATATATTACTTTATTAGATGATCGATAAAAATACGCATACAAATATTAGTTATGGAGAAACCATTATTCTAACTAAGAAAATTGTTTGAGATAGATTCTGTGTTTCGGTGATTGAATTTTTTGTGAAAAAATAACAAGCACCCGCTTAGTACACGAAATTGATGAAATCGAATTAAAATTTTATGAAAATTGAATGCTCTAATTCTAATTTATTTTTTGATAACCAATTCTAAATTCACATATTTCTGTGCCATCAAACAATGAAATTGGAATTAAAGTTTCAAATTCTAATTCTTATTGTATGTTTGGGAACATGGATTTGGATTTCAAATCCAGATTTGGCTTAAATTCCATGTTTGAGAAACTTAAGCATTTTGAATTTGGATTTGAATCAAATTCTATATATTGAAAACAAAACTTAATTTGAAATTCATGCACCTCCCTTTGTTATTTGAAATTCAGGATTTCAAATTTTGGAATTGAAATACATGAATTAAAATGAAATGATAGTTGTCAAACACTACCTAACTTAATTTCATGTACCAAATGAAGTATAAGTTTTTTATTTTAAAATTTAATTTACTTTACCTTAGTTACCGTTCACTTAGATCATAATGAGGATTAATTTTTTTTAAATGACGGGAAATAAAAAATTTATTTTGTGACCCACCTGCCACCCCGAAACGAGCCCACAAATTGTCACCAAAGTCTCCAACTTTTCTCCCTCTCCACACTTAAACCCCCACCAAGAATCTGAAGGGTTTTGGGAAAGTGGAAGAAAGAAGAAGAAGAAAAAAATGAGCCTCAGAAACTTGTTGAAAACACGGCGATCTCTGCATCATCACCAATGGAAGAAACAACCCGCAAATGATTCAATCGGGGCCCCGACATTCCGGACCCATCACCTCCACCAACAATCGAGACCCATTTCTCGGTTCACCCAATCCATTTACAGAAAGGCCAGGGAGACTGAGCTGTCGGTGCCCACTGCGTTATCTCTTCCGTTCTCCTCCTCCGCCGCCGCCGCGAAGGCTGGGTTCGTCGGGTGGTACTTGGAATTGTTGAAGACCCGGCCCATTCTCACCAAGAGCCTCACCTGTGCTGTAATTTATACCGCTGCGGATTTGTCATCTCAGGTTCTCTCTTGCTCAATCACTGTTTCTCAAGATTTTGGAAAAGTTTCAATTTTTACCATTTATGCATTTACTAACAGTAATTGCCAGATTTCTGTAACATTGTTAAATACCCAATTGAAATTTAGATGAATTCTCTGCATTCCAAATTATATTTTGTTGTAAAAATTTTGTAGTGTAGTGGGAAAAGTTTCAATTTTTACCATTTATGCTTTTACTAACAGTAATGTGAAGGTATGGGAGAAGTAGGAATGCCAGGTTTCTGTAACATTGTTAAATACCCAAATTGAAATTTAGACGAATTCTCTTCATTCCAAATTACATTTTGTTGTATCTGAATGAGGTCTTGGAGAGTGAGATCATATGTGCTTGGTTGATGCAAATGCAAATCTGTATTATTTTGGATTGCTGAGAGAGTGAAAAAAGGGCATTTTTTCAGACACTTTCAGGTGCACTATCCTTGGGGCAGTATGATCTTCTAAGGACACTACGCATGTCTGGTTATGGGATGCTGATTTTAGGACCTTCCCTTCACTTCTGGTTCAACTTTCTCTTTAGGGCTCTCCCAAAGCAAGACCTTAGATCCACCATTACAAAGATGGCTTTGGGACAGACTGTCTATGGACCTATTATGACCGTTGTTTTCTTCTCCGTAAATGCTGCTTTGCAAGGTTCTCTACTTCCCACATCTATTGATTTAGGGCTCTCATTTGGTTTCATTTTTAGCGGTTTCTGTTCTGAGGTTTCTGAATTAGCTAATTCTGGAGATCCAAACAGTTGATTGTACTTTTTTGAGAACTGAAAATCTCTGGAAGCAGAATCGAAAACTGATTCTTTTCAAAATATAAACAAATACAACCCTCAATAAACATAAAAAGAACCATCTTTTCAGAAATAGAGCCAAATGGCTCCTAAAGCTTCTTCTCCTTTTTCAGTGAATTCTTCGATTATCAGCAATGAGTTGAAGCATTAATATTTGATGTTTTGTCTGGGACAACAGGTGAGAATGGAGCGGAGATTCTTGCGCGGCTGAAGCGCGACTTCATCCCCACGATGGCAAGTGGCATCATGTATTGGCCAATTTGTGATTTTGTCACATTCAGATTCATCCCTGTCCATCTTCAGGTATATATATCATCTCCTTTGCAGAATTCAACCAAGCAACACAAAACTATATCCTCTCCTCATTGGCTTTCTATAAGCCCTTTAGCGAATTTGCTATATACGTTCCATATTTTTTGTATTTGATTCTGAATAACAAGAAACAATAGCCACACAACATCAACAATCCCAGTATAATCCCAAATTCATTGAGCTATGAGGGGTCAAGATGTACGCAATCTTACCCCCTATAAAAACAGAGAAGACTTCCCAAAATTTAATTGAAAGTAAGAAGCTCGGGAAGTTTAAGGTGTCGTTTTGATTTAGCCCATTATTCACCTAATTCTCTTTCAACTCCATGGGCAAAGAAAACATAAACAATTGCAGCTAATGTTTGTTTTTCTTTTCTTTGGCTACAGCCATTGGTGAGCAACTCATTTTCATACATATGGAATGTGTACTTGACTTACATGGCGAGCAAGGAGAGAGTAGCCACAGAATAACGCTTCTATGATGAATGCTATATGCAGCAGCACGGATCAATGGAACGGCGGGTTGCACCTTTGTATTTTCATATTTTTTTTGTATTCTTTTCCCAGCCATATCAATCGACCCTGACCTACTATAGTGTAAGCCTCTTCGTGCTTTTTGCGTTAAGGTCCATATTTTCCTAGCCATTAATAGGACTCAAACTAATGCTTGTTTAAAACCATTTGAATACGAAGTTAAAGAACAACGGACTCAGTAAAATTCCACAAAAGGCCAGGGTCTGGAGAGGGTGAGTTTCATTGTTATGAAATTTTATACCTCATATAAGGTGTTTTACGCTTCCTACACTCATTTACCGAGTAGTTCTCTGAGTTTCAAAATGCTTTAAACAATCAAGATTATCATAATAAAAATTTTAAATTCAAAATAATACGCGAGGACAAAAGAATAGTTATCAAAGTTTTTTTTGGACATTTTGGGAAATTTTAAAATCCAAACTAAACACATTAACTAAACAATTAACTCTGAACTTATATATTTTAAAAGCGATAGGTTAACAAATACAGAATATTTTAAAAGCGATAGGTTACTGACCAATATAGTCATGTAATTACTATGGAGTTATATATGTATTGTCAATTCATATATTACAAGGTCATGACGTCATGTTATACTCACACTACTGATGACATAAAAATCGTTACTCTAAATGTTTTACATTTAATGATTGTATAACAGATAACAAATATTAGTGTTTGATTGTTTCTCGGGATATCAAACGTGATGTCAAACTCTAAGATAAAATCGTATTGTTTTTATATTACTTTGTATATTAATCTGTATCTATCAACCATACTTAAACAAACATTAGTAGTAGTAGTTAAGATGGGTCATCAACTCATCATCATTCATACACAAACACGCTTAGGATCCGTGCAATGGATTGATATTTTTAACTAATGATGGTCATAGAGTACTAATTGTTGCTGGCTAATTACTCTACCCTTGTTTGTGTTTTAAAATCCTCTATTTTTTAATAACAATAAATCTCTTTTTTGGATTCATTTCTTTGCATCTAAGCCATCCTTAATGCCAATTTTGAAATGGAATTACTTTATGATCACTATTGGCTTATCCCATTATTATTTACATCATTTTTGGATCAAAGGAATAACCGGTTCACAGGGTGTCAAAATCAGCCGAACAGTTATTTAGAGGATGTGATAAATTTGAACAATAATGCTCTTTCCGTCCCTAAAAGATTGTCACTGTTTGATTTTTTTGATCAAACTGTGACATCCTTTTACCATAAATTAAATATAGTTTAAAATAATTAAATATTATAAAAAATTGATATTTCAAAATTATATTTTAAAATAAACTCAATCTTACTAAATTTACATTATAACTAGATATATTTTTTGTATAATTTGCGGTCAAATGGTGCTACAGTTTGACCAAAAAGTCAAAGTGTGGCATTATGTTTTAATGACGGTTGACATGTTGCCTTGCCAATTTATTGCTTCAATCGTTTTTCTACCTACAACTCCATTTAAGAACGACATTCTTATTAAAATTACATTTGGGAAATTCTCATATATGTCAAAGTAATTAAAACTTTGTCTAGGAATCTTTTTAAAACATCGCCAAACAGGGCCTAACATTGTCTCACAATCTCTTCAAAACATTGCCAAACACGCCCTAAAAAGTGCATGCCAAAGGGGTCTGAAGTACGAGTTCTCTCCTTCATAAATATGATTAAATGACAATATTGATTTTATGTGTGATTGCTTTGAATTTTGTTGTGACAACTCACACTACCATGACATTACAATATTATGTCATGGGATGACTCGGAATCGTTATGGTACCCCGTTTGTAAAAATTGACACATCCTACTCCCGTAACTCCTCCCCCTCCCCAGTAAACCCGTCCACCCACCCTTTTTTTAATTATTCATTGTACGTGTCATTTATCATACGGTTTAGAACATGTTCTTTTGAATCATATTTTATGAATGTCTAATCGGGTTTACTCTGATCCAATTTTAGTTATATTTAAAGTTATTTTTTATCTCATTTCAAATTTCAATAAGATTACGTGAAAATAAACTGTATCATTTAACTTTAAAAAAATAAAAAAAGTGTAGAAAATTATGGAATAGAAAGTATTCTCTTAGTCTAGATCTATTTTATAATTTAAACTTAAAAAATTAAATCAATGTTAATGCGGCCGGATCTTGTGACATTGAGATCAATGTATAGGATGACCCAAACATTCGACGAGACTCTGTTTGTAAAATTAATGATTCTTACCCATTTAAACCCCTCTAGCCTCTCCCTTCGCTGATTGGCTACAGTGCCCATATATTGTAGTCAATCGACGAAGGGAGTGAGTGGATGACTAGTGGAGTTAAGGTGATAAGAACCATCAATTTTACCAACGGAGCCTTGTAAGAAGAGCCTTGGATCATGCTATGACATTGAAATCAAATGTCACATGAACCGTTTCGATGTTAATGATGCTCATATTGTATTTTTACGTTTTCAAGTGAATTATCATAATATGTTATCGTTAGTAATTTAGATGAGTTTTTAATAATGAATATTAGCCTTTAGTACTCTTCTGTCCCAAAAAGGTGTTATCATTTTGACTTTTAGTAAATTTAAAGGAGAATATTTTTGTGTTGACTTTTCAAAAATACCCTTGATGTGATGAGTAAAAGTAGGAAGTAATGTGTAGATTATTAGTAAAAATGTATGATGTGATAGACATGTTAAAAATTAGTAATGGTAAAAATAATTTTTTAATAGAAATGAGAATGATTTTGTGGGAGTAAAAAAAATGGGGAAGAAGTTTTTGAGACGGAGTGCGTAGAAAACACTAATGTTGAAATGACTGTTGGATAAAATTTTCAAATGGTAGAAATTAAACGTAAAACGAATCCTAAATAAGTATATACAGTGAAAAACGCCAAATTAGAGATTGGAGAAGTAAATTTGGACAAGAGAATACTAATGACGGATATAACTAAATTTGGTACCAGATTCTGTTACGTTTGAAAATTGACCATTGATTAATTTAAATTGAGATTCCTCTCTATTCTAACTTAATTATCACTGTATTTGATTGTCTTTCTTTGGATGGATTCCCCTAGCAAATGAACCGTAGAATCTTTTTTTTTCTTCCAAAATTTGAAGAAATTTATACTCCGCATTACAGTTTTCTTGGAGAAGTTTGAACAAGAAGATTAGTTTATTAATAAGTGCTAATGAAAATAATTAAATCATTAGTATAGATAGTACTAAGAAATTTATATTCCGTATTTCGTTGCCACTGCATTACCACTGAAATTTTGGGACAACTACGTTGCTCTGTTCGTGAAATAAATGGTTTCTAATTACCTCCAACCACGCCCCATGGTAAACCCCCTATCATGGCTCGACCTATACCCACCCCCACCCCTGTGAATCGGGCCCTACCCATGTTTAGTTGACTCTGGGTTCAAAATTTTGATTCCAAAATCAATTAAACTTGAAAAGTTAAAATGGCGAGGGAGGAGGAGGGTCAATCGAGCATGGGTGGAGGGTTTACCGGAGAGGTTGTGGAGATGGGAACTACCAGTTTTGCAAACGAAACACCGATGTGTCGAGTGAGACTCTCTCAAACCTTTTAGTACTTACACACACATATATACTATATGAAATTATTATGAACCCATTACTACTCTATTATTGTTACTAGTATTTTATTCATTTTTCTAGACTAAAAAATTATGTCACCTTAATGCAACCTGCAGCTGCAAATACATATGACCATATATTAATTAAATTATTCAGACCAAAAAGCATCCAAAGCTTCATATATAATATTCATCCTTAAGTAAATAATAATGTTTCTCGTTTTAAATAATTTAAGTATGTCACATGTTATATTTTTTTAAATATATTAGTTCTATTTTATTTCTACATAAATTTTAAAATTAATTAAATTTTATTGGGGAGTAGTAATTGTAAAGATAAAGATTACAGCAAGAAAAAGAAAAGAAAAGAAATCCGAACTTATAACACGTTCGGATTTTACAACGTGTGCATGCATATGATTTGGTCTCGTAAAAGGGTAAAGGTTCGGGCCCACGCTGTCGCCATGACGCATCGCGCCCACGCATGCACAAGCCAACACGCGTTCTCGTTCGCGCGCGTGCATATCATGCCGAGCCGGATGGACGGCGGCAGTGGTGCACGATGGCTCCCTTGGTTCTTCCTTCATAAATTGATTTAAAATGTTATTAAAGACCAGCATATAAATAGAAAAAGTTGAAGAGCCTATGAATTCAATGTGGGACACAAGAATTTTCCCCTACCAAGTATTCGATTTCTGTAGAATATTACAGCGGGAAAAACAAAAATAAAATAAAATAATCCGAACTTATAAAACGTTCGGATTTTACAACAAAAATAAAAGAAAATAAAACTTGGAGTCTTCGGATGCTTGAACGAACGCAAGAACACGAACGGACGGAGAGAGAAGAACGACGGCGGAGCAAAAGAAGGGTAAGGAAAGCGGAGTCGCCGGAGCTTTCCTTAAGGTAGTATTGCCCGCCTCCCGCACTGGCAAACGTGGGCAATCTCCTCCCAGGATAAAACCGCTACGTGCAAGGCCTAGAGCGGTAGCACCGTGCACCGACGAACGAGAACGACGGAAGTCACTGCCGGAGAAGACGATCGGAAATAGGGGAAATATCGGAAGTACAGAGAGAGAAGTGCTTTCGGAAGTGTCTTCTTCTCCTGCAGCCAAGCCCTCCTTTTATAGGAGGGAATTCTTGGCTCTTCGCTGGACCATCGGAGATTACGAGGGGACGAGTGTCCCTTCGGCCTCAAGTGTGCATGCATGCTTCATTTACAACGTACACTTCGTTATTAACGAAGTGTACACGCGCGTTTCGTTTTGGTCTCGTAAAAATTTAGCCACGCCGCAG